ACCAGGCAGTGAGAGGCACCTGACCAAGACCAGACCTTTGAGGGATCTCCAGTTCTTTGGAATTGATATTTTCTAATGCGCATTTTGATTGCGTATCTGGTGAATGCGCAATCTTATCATTTATATCACCTTAATACCAGTTCAGACCACTGGACTTTGAAGATCATCTGGATCTCCTGTGCACTTTTTATTGTGGACTATTGTTTGATTTCCTAGTCTTTGCACTTGATTTGTCACCACATAGAGACAAGACCATCACTCTATGTTGCGCTTTATATCAATTTATTTATAAGATCTGGTTTTATGCGTTTTTATGATGTATGCATGCATTTACCATTGACACGGTTTTGCACCATTAAATCACTTGATTTTAATATTTGATATAAGTACCATTACTTAGAATTTTTTAGCGCTACACCCTGCTTTTATGAAAAAAGTGACACCCCGCTGCATGAACAGTAGTGACATCATTGTGGCTTGGCCATTCAAGCCCCCAGAGCCCGAACCTGGAAGAAGGTCCGGATGAAGATGGAAGTCCGGTCAGCAGTGACAGCATGCCAATGGAGGGCTTCCTTTTAATGTTTCACATTATATGCTAGTATACAATACATACTAGCACATTATGACATTGCCTTGCAGGAGAATTTTTTTTTTTTTTAATTATGTTTACTACCACATTAAAAGGGAACTATGGCTTTTTTACCCCCAAAAAATACCTAGATGGGATGCTGCATCTGTCCCCTGCCAACTCTAAGCGTGAGAACTCAGTGATCACATGAGTTCTCACAGCTGTTCTGAGCAGAGAGCAGTGACTGTTAGGCTGGCCATACATTACACAATTTTCTTGAGATTTTTGGTTTAGATTTTCCAAACACCATATAATAGGAGGTCAAATCTAACAACACTTTCAATTGTATCCAATTAGGCAGGCCCTTGCACTACATTGTTGAAGGTAAATCTAAAGGAAATTGGGCAGAAATTGTACAGAAATTTGTATAGTGTATGGCCAGCCTTAGTCCGCTGTCAGCTGAAAATGGGTCACAGGAGTGCAAAACAAACTGCACACCTGTGATCCACAGGAAAAGTAAAGCCAAAAGACATTGGCTGTATGTCTCCTTTAATGGGTAAGAAAGAAAAGATTATATAAAATTGGCTGGTATCCCTTAGGGCCTCTGCCCATGCAAATCAATAGAAACTAGAAAGCAATTCAAAGCGGGTTGATGAAACTTGGAATCCGCTCAAATGCAAGTCAAAAGGAGATCTCCTGCAAGTCTATTGCACCTGTCACTGAACTCTGAATGATTTCAGCAGCATCTCACACTGATCTCAATTGCAAGCACAATGCACCTAAAAGCAAGCTACATTTGACCATCTACAAAAGCTAGCCACTGTGCTTAGCATTGCTGTTTTCTTACTGTGTTGCTCTTCTACAAAGGTATTGCTGCTTGCATACTGACTGCTATATAAAAATCGATTTTTGACTTGCTTGTAAAATTCTTTTCTTGGAGTACAGTACAGGAAGTAGATTTTCATATTTGTATCAGATGGGTTATACGCTGTACCTTCAGGTGATTGGACACCGACAAAGCCAATCAAAGAGTGAACTCTCACCATGAAAGATTTATAGCAAGCAATGCTAGGACCAAGTGCCAGAGGGGGAGGGTCCAGTACTGTACTTGAAGATGATGATTTTACAGGTAACGAAAAAAAAAACCCAAAAACATTTTTTATTGTGCAATATAAGATTTACAGTTAGGTCCATATATAATTGGACACAGGCACAATTTTATATATATATATATATATATATATATATATATGTATAATGTATAAATAAAAAAACTATATTTAGTTATATAATGGCTATGGGCTGAACATGCACTCTCAGGTTTAATTTGAGGGTATGTACATTTAAATTGGAGGAAGGGTTTAGGAATTACAGCTCTCATGAGTAGCCATCCCGCCTTTTTCAAGGGACCAAAAGTAATTGGGCAATTGAATAAAAAACTGTTTCATGACCAGGTGTGGGCTACTCCTACGTTATTTCTTTATCAATTAAGCAGGTAAAAAGTCTGGAGTTGATTCTAAGTGCGGTATTTGCATTTGGAATCTATTGCTGTGAACCTACATTATGCGTTCAAAAAGGAGCTGTCCATGCAAGTGAAACAGGCCATTGTAAGGCTTCAAAAATGAAACAAATCCATCAGAGAGATAGCAGCAACATTAGCAGTGGCCAAATCAACAGTTTGCTACATTCTGAGGAAAGAAGAACGCACTGGTGAGCTCAGCAACATAAAAAGGCATGGACGTCCACAGAAGACAACAGTGGTGGATGATCGCAGGATCCTCTCTATGGTAAAGAAAAACTCATTCACAACATCCAGACAAGTGAAGGACACTCTCCAGGAGGTGGGCATATCATTGTCAAAGTCTACAATAAAGAGAAGACTTCATGAGAGCAAATACAGAGGGTTCACCACAAGGTGCAAACCATTCATAAGCCTGAAGAATAGAAAAGCCAGATTAGACTTTGCAAAAAAAAAAAAACCATCTAAAAAACCAGACCAGTTCTGGAAAAGCATTCTTTGGATGAATGAAACTAAGATTAATCTGTACCAGAATGACGGGAAGAAAAAAGTGTGGAGAAGGCTTGGAACAGCTCATGATCCAAAGCACAAAATGTCATCTGTAAAACATGCTAGAGGCAGTGTGATGGCATGGACATGCATGGCTTCCAGTGGCACTGGATCATTGGCGTTTATTGATGATGTGACAGAAGACAGAAGCAGCCTGATGAATTCTGCAGTGTTTAGATATATACTGTCAGCCCAGATTAAGCCAAATGCAGCAAAGCTGATTGGACAGCGCTTCAAAGTACAGATGGAAAATGGTCCAAAACACACTGCAAAAGCAACCCAGGAGCTTTTGAAGAAAAAGAAGTGGAATATTCTTCAATGGCCGAGTCAATCACCGAATCTCAACCCAATTGAGCATGCATTTCACTTGCTGACAGCAAAACTAAGGGCAGAAAGACCCACAAACAAAGAACAACTGCAGACAACTGCAGTTAGAGCATGGAAAAGCATCAGAAAGGAGGAAACCCAGTCTTTGGTAATGTCCATGGGTTCCAGACTTCAGGCAGTCATTGCCAGTAAAAAGATTTTCAAGAATATATTAAAAATGAACATTTTATTTAAGATTATATTAATTTGTCCAGTTACATTTGTGCCCCTGAAAATGGAGGGACTGTGTATAAAAATGGTTGTAGTTTCTAAAACTTGTGCTTGATATTAATGTTCAACCCCTTGAATTAAAGCTGAAAGTCTGCATTTCAAATTCATTTGGATTGGTTCATTTTAATTTATCCTGGTGGCATATAGAGCCATAAATATGAAAATTGTGCTTGTGTCCAAATATATATTGACCTAACTGTACGCTTCATATTCATAACTGATAGGGCACCCCCCAAAGTAGTAAAGCGAGGGGAAGGTAATGTGGCAACCAAGAAACTGTAAACAGATCCATAACATACAGACCAAAGATGGCTTTAACTACTGATTTTAAACCTTGAAGCCTAAACTGGCAACAGCAGAGGCCTGAATACCTACCTAGTAAAACTTCAAAAACATGTGAAACGAAGACCAGGTAGCAGCCTTACACAGCTGAGCAATAGAAGCCGGACGCTCAATACTCAAGATGTGCCAACAGATTTAGCAGAATGTGCCTTAACTGGAAAAAAAGGCTTTTTACCCTTCATTACAGGGTATAGGCACCAGGAATAATCTGGCAAATCCACCTAGTAATAGTGGATGCGAGGGCAGGGGAGCCTTCTTAGATATTGAAGGTCCCTTTTGAGTGTGTGAAACTTTTTGATTTGGTTGCACAGTTTGCAGCATTTTTATTTTGCAGAATTTACTTCCATTATTTGTGATTTCATAATCAATGAAGTTTTCTGCTAATTAGTTTATGTCTGAGGTTGTATGGTTGCTATGTGGTTGTCTGAAAGCCAGTATTGGAGGTATTTATTTCAGCGTTTCATTCTCTGTTATGATGGATTGTAATTTGATGGTGTTTCTTACCCCTTTCAGTTCTGGATTGTAATTTGATGGTGTTTCTTACCCCTTTCAGTTCTGGATTGTATGTGGTTACTAGAGGTAAACAGTTATTTGTGTTTTTTCTCTTTGTATTGGAGATTTTCTGTTTGGGTTTTCAAGGTCCTGTATATGCTTGTATTTATGGTTTTGTCCTTATAACCTTTCTTATGGAAAAAGTCTGCTAGTGTTCCAAGATGCTTATTTCTGTCTTCTGGGTCTGAGGATATATGGTGGCCTGTTTGTGTATGACGTTTAGTGTGTTGGGGGTGGAAACTTGAACTATGGAGATTACTGCATCTGTTAGTGGGTTTCTTATATATTGAGGTTTGCAGCTTGTCATCCCTGATGTATACTGTGGTGTCTAGGAAGTTGACATATGTGTTTAAATAATCCACTTTTGCTTTATTTGATGGGTCAAATGCACTGATCAAGAAGTAAAATTGTTTTAGATCGTCTTCACCTTTTGTCCATATGATAAAAATATCATCAATATAGCAATGACATTTGTATGGCTTTTATTGTATGTTGCTCAGGAATCTGTTCTTCAGGTCAAGCATAAATACATTTTTATATTGGGGTGCCATTTTATCTCCCATAGCAGTATTGAAACATACATGGATACTTCCAGCAACCACCTGTGAATGTTTGGAGAATCACACTAACTGCTTTATAAATTCCTCCTATAGGAAAGCCTTCATCAGGAAAACACTATAAAGTTTTTTTTTTTTTTTATTATAATATCAAACACCCATCCAAATCTTTCAGACTTGTGTGTGGCACGGTAAACACTTCTACAAAATAAGACGTGTATTTAACTGTGATCTTAAAATGAAAAAAAAAAAAAAATTATACAAAACAATGTGATATACTACTGCCTCGCTATCCTGAACTCATCTACATACTAACCTCCAATATCTTGTTCTTTTGACCTTCATTCACTTTGCCAGCTAGACAACAATGAGAGATAGCATTCTGGATGATATATTTGTTAGATTTAGCACTGGGCTCTTTGTATAATTTTGGTCCTGTGGACAAGAGATAACTAGTGTTAATTGAACATGTAGAATAGTTATTATACTAGAACCGAAAATGAAAAGAAACATATTCTGTGTACACACACATCCTCACCTGTATATTCTGTTGCTGATGCTACTGAAGAAGTAGTAGAGGCATTCTCCCAATCTTTTTCACCATTACGACTGCCACAACGGCCAGGAGACAAAAATCCCTCGACAGACTCTGACCTAAAGGGGCTGAGTAAGAATTCATGTCAGTTATGAATGTAGGCGGAAAGTGCAATCCTTTTCATTTTATTTTTTGTTGTGTAAGCTTTATGTGTAAGAACATAAGTAAAATAAGGAGGGAGAGGGGGGCAGGGCCAAGCCACACTCTTTTTGTCTATGGACATACACACCCATCTTGGGAGCGGGCCCACCCGAGTTCCTCCACAGCAAGTGGCTTGCTATGAGGGCACTTAGCGATGGGGGGTGATGTGGAGAAGGGAGGGGAGAAGCAAGGAGCGCCAGGGGTGTATAGTTTGCGCTTAGAGCAGGTAAGCACAACATGTTAGTTATTTAAAAAAAAATAAAATTAAATCCTTTACAAATCACTTTTTAACCCCTTGACGCCGACTTTCCACAAATATGCGGCCTCACAGAACTGGGCTTTTTTCCATGGGTTCCGCATATTTGCCTACCTATTTTGCCCTGGGAGCGCGCAGCACAGAGTGATCCCATCACAAAGCCCGGGTCACATGCGCGCTGTGATAACCTTTGATTGGCTATCACAGTGCTCAGTCACTGTAAAGCCCGCCCCCCTTGTTTTTTTCCTCTCTGAATGGAGGAGAGAGATACATCTCCTTGCAGAGAGGAAAACAAAAAAAAAAACGGTTTGTAAAAAAAAAATGAAAGAAAACATAAATAAAAAAATATTAAAAAAGAAAAAGAAAAAATACCTAGATCAGTGTTTGATCTAGTTCAGTGCCAGAGTTAGTGTTTGGGTCAAGGTCAGGATTTTTTTTAAAATTAGTATCAGTGTCAGTGCGTTTTAGGTAAAAAAAAAAAACTAAATTTGCACTATTGTTTCTGAGCTGTAGTACAGGTACAACACAACAAATAAAATACACATATATGGTATCTCTGCGATCGACAGGAGCTGGAAATTTTATTTTGGGTTGTTCTTTGGTGGTAAGTTATGGTAGTAACAAGAAACACACAGCTAAATAAATAAAGAAAAAAAGATTTTTTTTTAACTATTTTTGGCCAGGTTTCGTTTGATAATAAAAAAAATAAATCAGGAGATATCCATTACCATTTACCACCAAATGAAAGCCAAATTTGTCCTATAAAAAAACAAGGTATAATTCACCTGGATGTACAAAGTAGTTGTGATGATATGTACGGTTTTGCCCTTAATCGCGAAGGAGTAAAGTCACCAGCCCATGTCACCAATTTTCAGTCTCATGAAAAGATAAGCATTCTGAAGAATCATTACCATTTGCACACTTCCTGGTGTGTTGAATGTCTGGGGCCTTGCTGCAGATCATTCTGTCAGCCCATGTCACTACTGTGAGCTACAATAATGTTAGTGTACAATCCAGAAGTGTCAGATGCTAAAGATCTTTCAGCAAGTGTAGCTCTTCAAGAGAGGAATAATAGATAGCATGGGAGCAAGGACAGGTACAGTAGGTATTCTTTTATTTGCAGATAGGGCAATGTTTTGACCCTTTTTAAGCTAACAACAGAGTGTCTAACAGATTAAAATACATTTTGACCCTGCAACTGACTTTACCGTGTCTTCTAGGTCTTCCCATTGTACATGGCAGTCACTACTGCACAAGTGTAGCCAAAGAGATGTTAAAAGAATTGTTTTGAAGTGGTTGTAAAGGCTCAAGGTAAAATACCTTCTCTGTGCAGCATCCCCCTAATACTCACCTAAGCCCCTTCTCAATCCAGTGTTGTGCACAGAAGTCTCAATTATCCCGGGACTCCCTCTCCTCATTGGCTGAGAGCCAATTGGCTCCCGCTGTGGTCAATCACAACCAGTGAGCCAATGAGAAGAGAGGGGTCGGGGCCAGGATGCAGCACCAAGTGTGAATGGGCACACGGAGCATTGGCTGGGAAGAGCACATGCTCACCCACATAGCAAGTTGCTTGCTGTGGGAGCGCCTTACAGGAAAAAGGAGCCAGGAGCGCCAGCGGGGGACCCTAGAAGAGGAGGATCCAGGCTGCTCTGTGTAAAACCACTGCACACAGCAGGCAAGTATAGACATGTTTGTTATTTAAAAAAAAAAAAAAAAATTTGGTCTTTAGAATCACTTTATTGGTGTATATGTGGTTCAAAGTCTATCCTTGCTTCTCTGTCTGTTTAAACATGTAATACTTAGGGCTTTTGTGGCCCGGTAACTGCAGAATGCTTGCAGGTAAAAGGCTTTGGAGATACTGCTGAGTTTCAAGCAGCATTTGCAGTCCCATCAACTTGTATAGAAAGAAAAGCAGTTCTGCAAACAAACACCAGTACACAAGCCAGCCCTTATGTATATTTTGTTCTGGCTTTAGCCAACTAAAAGTATTTAACATACTTCTCTAGCACAACACATCATTATGTAATTTTATTGCAGGACTTATATTTAGCAAGTATTTTCCTTTTAATTCACTTCCAACCCATTTCTGCTTTCCAAAAAATGTACCCTATATTAACGTAATAAAAGAAAAAAAAAAAGACCCCTCCTTTAGTTATGTGCAGTTATTCCAGCAAAAAACAGTCTGCTGCCAACAATGTCTAATGCAGTTTGTTACTAAATGTGCACAAATGTATGTCATCATTTGAAATTATAACATGTAAAGGGTATAATAGTATTAATAAACAAACATTTAAACAAAAAGATAAAAAAACTACAACTCTGGTCCTGGTCAGCAAGGTGAAATTTTTAATGTCATCATAGAGTGCAAGAAAAACAAGACAGCTTCAATATGAAATATTTGCTTGATGAAAGGGCAACAAACCAGATCTGTTGTGGTGAAATGAAGGTACAGTTCAAATAGGTTTTCCAAAATCACCAAAATGATAACATTAGTCCCTCCCCAAACTACATTTGGAGGAATTCACATTCTTTGAGATAACAGACTTCTTTTCCTTGCACAAAAGATCTAGATGTGTATGATGACAGTCTCAAGAACTCACATAATACAGCATAACAATATAAATTTAAAATACAGATATGGGACATACTACATGTTCTGTCGTTTAGGACTTTTAGGACGCTTTACTACACCACAGAGCAAACTCACCTTTACACTATGCACTTCTAACACTTGTAGCTAAATTTAAATAGAAACATATAGCCACTAAAATGTCTTTTTGGTACTGTAAAACATACTAATAGAGGCGTTTTACCCCCATAACGCTTGTAAAAGACTGTTACCTTGGTGTTCTTTTCTCAGAGTTCACACTTTCATTGTCACCTGCATTCAGAGAGGCCAGGGAAAGTGCAGACACTACACAAGAGAAGACAATGTCACGAATGGTACATTTTATACATACATTTTATGGTATGAATGGTACATTTTATAAATAGATCTTATAATACCCTTGATCTTATAAGGAATGTAAAGTATACCTGTGGCCAGGGCATTTTATTCTTAATGCCTAACTCCATGTTTTTGTGAACTTCAAACAGTTTGCTTGGACCAAGCTGGTCCAAACAAACTATTTCCTTCACTAACACTATCAGCGGTGTATAAACTGTATGTAGCTGCAGCACTGTGTTCCAGCAGCAATAAATTAACTTCATGTTCTGCTCCCAAGAAAATTTGAGTCGGGATGGTTGCATAGGCAACTTTGTCGTTTTTTTGACTGAGGCAAGGAATTGCGACATCATCCGCCCACCTCTCCGCCTCAGCCAGAGGAAGACTTGCATTCATTTAGAAAAATAAGAAGTTTTCTGTACAGGACTGAGCAGTACTCAGCCAGACTCGATTTTTTTTCGGGAGCAGGACTGGAAAATCATATCCCACTGCCTGATACAGTGATGTATAGTGTATGTAGCTGAGACTACATACATTTCATACAGCACACACAGCAGCCACATGTGCTAGTGAAAGAAATAGTTTGTTTGGATTAGCTTGGTCTAAACATACTACTTACAGTTCACTAAATCATGAAGTTAGGCTTTAACAAGCAGTAAATGGGCTTTAAAAAGAAGCCTTCATTGACAGAAGACAGGGCCACATTGTAGTACCCTAATATCTCCATCCATTGCTTTCCAGTAGAGACTTTTAGTGTTGTGGGTCTCTCTCATTCAAAACATCTATGTCTGCTGCAATGTGAGAAGTGCTGAAAGGGAAAAGCATTTTGCATGCCTTTTCATTATTAATAGTACCTGTAGCAAAAATGGATATGGAATGTGCCTGAACATGAAAACATTTTTTTTTTTTTTTAATATAGAGAAAATTCATACAAATTCTAAATATATTGTGCTTTATTTTGGTGCTAAGTCCTAAATGGATTTCCTTTGTAAAGTCACCATTATTTTCAGTCTCCAATAGCTGGATCATCCGATAGGGTAAAAGTAAAATTCACCATATTTTGTGATACACATATACTGCTTCTTCAGGAATGTGGGAGATAAATATATATGTGAAACCAACAGTATTCTGGACACAGTGCACACAGGCTATCCCTCCCAGCGCCCAGAACTGGGAAGAAACAAAATGGTGAAGGAGCCCCTCAAAGCCAACATGCTGTATATCTGCATGCTGTCAAGTTAATATAAGAAGATACCTAGCCTGGACCCATAGCCATCCCTAAAATAAGCTAGCTTAATGCCACGTTTACCAAAGTCTGGTAATTATTATAAAGATTATATTGATGATCATGATTGCTCATAAACTTTCCCTGGGGATGCAACATCTCTGAGGCTAGGACCTCCTATTGTAATTAAGGAATACCCAATATTAGCAGTTGACTCTGCCTAAGAGGCATCCGACCCAGAAAGGGGATGACCAGGTAGTCCTCAATATACTGAATACTTAAAACACAATTGCAACCTGAAGGGTTAAAAAAAAAAAAAAAAGAAAAAAGTTTATTCTGCTTTGTCAGGTTCAATTGCCAATACCAACAGGACTGGAATGCAAAACTGACAGACTAATTTCAGAAGTGATAAATAGTATCCATAAGTCCTGAGTTTATTCATTGCAAACAACCTCATGACTCCTTCTGAGCCTTCCTTAAAGGATAAGATCACCTTTGGAACATGTTACATGTTCCACCTGTTAGGGTGGAACATGTTACATTTTCCCATAGACACAGCCGTGCCACCCCCACCCGACAGATAGTATGGAGAAACTTCTCCCCGTACTGCCAGATTTGAAAACAGCGTGGCCGTGCGAGGCTCCGCCCACACAGCCACATCACTCATTCACGGACTTCCATGAATGAATGAACTGCAAGTCCTGACAGCCTTAGCGGCTGCGGGCTTGTAGTTTTCAATGAACTACCATGCCAGTGAGGAGCCCCGTGGTAGCTCTTTGAAGCTTCCTGTCAGTATACCTGCTTGCTTGTATATCCCGTACGTCAAGCAGATATTCTGACAGGTCTGCAGGAGACCTGCATGGCATCAACGATCCACTGATCGCTGGTGCAATGGTTTACAGGCTCCTTTGGACATAATAAATGAACTTTTTTTTTTTACCTGCACAAAATGTGCATTTATTATTTGCGTCCAGAATGTGAACTTATCCTTTAAGAGACCAAAAGCACAGAATAAAAAAAAAGTTTAAAGTTTAACATGAGCATAATGTAATTAAGGCAAAGGCTTTGTTTTTACTTAAAAAAAGGAAAAATATAAACTAAAGTAAAAAGTATTTTTAGGCCTGGTTCACAGCGTTTTTTTAGTGAATTCTGCAGAAACTCACTACAGTCCATTTAACATTGTTTCCTATGGGATAAGTTCACATCTATGCGTTTTTCAGCTGATGCATTTTGAGAAAGGGTCAGCCGATACATTTTTGGTTCAACAAACTTCAATGGACTTGTGGCGGAAACACATGTAGTGAGTTTTTAATGCTTTTTTTCATGCATTTTTAATCTGCATAACAAGAAAAACAAAAAAAGAAAAATACAAAAGTCACAGCAAAAAGCATATCAAAAGCAAACTGCATAGGTGTGAATCAGGCCTTAAGGTTGGGAAAACATTTTAGTAGAGTTCTTAGTTCATGTAGTACTTAGACCTTCTCAACTCAATGATTGCTTTTAAACCCCTCTATAGCATAGCGAACACTCTCAAAGTTTATGTACCTGGAGGGCCCCCAGTGGGTGTTCTAGGAGATTCAGCATGATGATCTCTATGGATAGATTTAGGTCGAGGCTTTTTAGACTTGCCAAGGTTCCCTCGAGGTTTTATAACAGAATCCATGTCTGCCATTAACTTAAGCTGCTTCCTGCGCATATATTCCTGTTTGATAAACTCCCGCCTGGCCTTCTCGTCTTCCTTCTTATGTCGTTCTTCTTCTGACTTTCGCCTGTTGAAATAAAAACTGTGTCACTGATGGAACTGTATAAAAGAATGACAAGATTAACAGTATATATTACAGTTGAAAGAGGGGTTAAACTGCATAAAAACCCAAGAACACACATTTTTACACAAAATATAATGTAGCTTACTAACGCTTAGATGTGATGCTACAATAGCTTTTTTTCCTTTAGTTTCATTTGGTAATCCTGCCAGTAACACACTTCTTGCCCTAGGAAGTGTATTAGGACCAGTGGCGTATTTAGTTCTTGTGCTGCCCTAGGCAACACTAAAACTGGGCGCCCCCCAACACCAGCACTTAGTGGTGGGCAGCGCTGCCCCCCTGAAAATTGCCGCCCTGGCAAAAGCCTTGTATGACTCACGATAAATACGACGCTGATTAGGATTAAAGAACATCTTTCCCTTCCCTCATCTACATAACATGAGGGTTATTCTGTAGTCCACAGAACGCTGGAAACTGATAATAGTAGCAGCAGAGAACACAGGAAGTTACAAGGTCACTAGATTTCTGCAAGGATCAAGAGGTATTTTTTTAAACTTATGGAACAGATATAACAAACACTTTCAATGCTTAATTTCACAGACAAAAGGAAGCAAATAAGAGAAGTACAATTTTCTGTACATATGCTACGACCATAGCAAAAACTAGTATGGTGTTCATTCAATTAAAGTATTACTAAATCCACAATAGTAAAATCGGTCTGTATATACAGTAAAGCACACATGTTGTGTGGAGACACTGCACATGCTCCATTTAGTGTGTATTGCTAGAGACGTTTTTTTCTTTTCTTGGGAGAGTGCATGTCATCAGCACAGGGCCAATCAGCACTGTCCAGACAGAGGTCAGGGGTTCTGCATCTACCTAGAGAAAATTCCTGCTACAAGCTTTTATCAGTGCTTTGCTGAACACTGATAGAAGTCACAAGACTGCTCTAACTGCTGATGAGAAAAGGTATTTAGCAGTTTATATTTACTAAAATAATTGCTTTTCCATGTTCTGCGTACTGTGGGAGACAGGATATAGCGAATGCAGGGTCCTATGTACCCATTTAGTAACACTTTAAAATGTGGTTAAACTAGCCAAAACTTTGTTTTCATTTAGTCATTGGGTTTGAAAATAAGGGGGAAGGGTTATAGTTTCTGTTTTATATTGCCATGTGCATGCTTGTTGTCGAGGTTTCCTCTCACTTTCTATCTCATGACCCTGCGCCAGGAGGATAACAATGAAATGTTGCTCCTATACATCTATTCTTCTCAAGTTCACCCTGCCCTTAGCACTCCCAGACTGATGCTAAGACTTGCTTCAAAAGTTAACTGAGGCAGAGGGAAGTGGGGTGCAGAAGCGCTTGCCATGATGTGCAATACTTGCACATTATGGCAAATGTTACCACTGCTACTATTCTTCTCCGAGACTACTCCTGCATCCAGCATATTCCTTCTTCAGCACTTGCGCATGTGTGTTACATTATCACTGTACTCAGCGAGAATACACATTGAACTGTGCATGTGCCACAGTTAATGTGCAAGAAACACAATTGCTAGCAATTAGGTAAAGGAGTTTTTTTTTTTGGCAGAACAGATATACAAAATCTCTTACCTACTAGCAATTTTTTGTTTTTCAATATCAGTGCCATTTTAATGGTTTCAAGAAATCTGACCAAAGCCTGTCAAATGTTTTGGAAATGCTTGCTGATCATCCTTAGACTGGCACTTCCCAGCAAAGAAGAAAAACAAAGTCTGTGTTTAGGGAATTAAAGAAAGCAACATATCAAGTATAAGATAGCATAAAGTAAATAATTTCCAGCTCAGGGATACTTTAAGGCTTCATGCAAATTGGGCGTTTTTACAGCTGTTGTTTTGGGCTTCTGGTATTTTTTTTATACAGCCAGTAAGCATATTATCCTATATGACCATGCACACATAGGTTTTAATCAGCGTTTTTTGGCAGAGGAGTTTTCTGGCTGGAAACAAACCCAGAACTAGTGGGTTGCAAGAGGAGTTTTTTTTTTTTTAGCTTTAACAACGCTCTAAACCAGCGTTTTTGAGCCATTTTTGTTTGTGCTAAAACCGCTAATGCGGCTAAACGTTAATGCAGACACACTAAAAAACACAGAAAAACACGCGATGCCTTTATACAGCTAATGCTACCGGCGTTTTTAACTTATGCTTAACTCCAGTCAAAACTTCAAATCAGGTACTGGAATGTTTATAAGCGAAATGTCATATCTTAGGTGTTTGTGCTTCATCCATGCATTAATCTGAAATCTTTGGTGTTCTGAGAACGTCATGCATGCTTACGCAGTTCCCATCTCTGTCTACTGTAGTTCAAGCCATATAGTTTGTACAGAACAGAATCATGGCCAGGGTCAACCAATCAGAAACACTTTCATTGGTGTGCTAAAACTGGCAGCAAATGTTTACGATATGGATAACAAAGGGAATCTCCTGACCTTAGGGCATCTGCAGTGCTCACTAAATAGTATCAACATTTCTCTAGACTTCTTTGACTGAACTTGCCCATTTCACTAGATTGGTTAGTCTGCAACTATCAGGGATTCTTCAGTAATTCTCAGTAATCCGTAGTCTTTGGGACTGTAGAGTACAGTACCCACAGGAGTCTGTAAGGGCTTTAATGTTACCATAAGGGAAAAGTTCCGTTTTATAAAAAAATATAAAATACAGGTGTACCTCGGTATACGAATTTAATGCGCTCTCCAGGATGTTTCACATTGCGAAAAATTCGTAAACCGAAATGCGGTTTCCCATAGGAATGCATTGAAAACCAATTAATCCGTTCCGGAGGTCAGAAAAGAGTAGAAAGAAAAAGTCGCTGTCACTATAGGTCAGTGCCTGTTTTTAAATGTAATTACAGGCTTTTTTTTTTTTTCTTCACTATAGCTCAGAGAATCAGTTATTACTCCCACCCCAGCTAAAAGAAATAAAGTTTCCTTTTAGTTTATTTCCCTGAGTTAAAAGAAACAATGTTTCCTTTTAGATTGTTTCCCAAGATAAAAGAAACAAAGTATCCTTTAGCTCCAGGGAAAGTGACAGCTAATCCTGTAAACTATAGTGAAGAAAAAAAAAAAAATCCGGCAATTGCATTTAAAAATCGGCACCGACATACACTTCGTATTGCGAAAAAAATATGTAAATCACATACATTCCAGCACCCAAAATGCTTCTTTACCAGACGCACAGGGTGCCATTAATACTGTACTTAATGGCACTCCAAGCATTGGAAAACACAGCATCTTTTCGAGTGAGTGAAACTGCATGGTGCCAAAGCGCCATGTGGTTTGATGAGGCTGTGTTTCAAAAAAGAAAAGGTCAGGTACTATTTTCCCTGCATTTCCCACAGGTACAGCAGTCCATCCAAATGAATAGGCTGCTGTGCCTGTGCAAAGCAGAGCTGTACTACCCACAATTGTGCATGAGGAAATCTCTCCAAAGTAGGAGAAATCCCCTTTTACACAGTTTTCACTGCAACAAGTGCCAAATGGAAAATATCCTCCCTATTGTTCCAGTGACTTAAAATTTTGTGTTTTCCCTAATTTCATTTCTAGTGATAATGGTCACAAAGATAAACAGAGAGGAAGCAATATAAAACCTGAGATAAAATGGAGCCTGTCTACACACTGCCTCGGCATACAGTGAGCTCCTCCAAGAAAAATGAATGATTATGATTAAGCCCCTATTGGACAAACCATGTAAGAGGGGGTTTTACCATGGGTAGGAAACCTAGCCAAAGCCTTTTTTGTTTCTAAGAGGCGTTCAATAAATGTTGAGGCAGTATGTACATGGGTGCTATTTTGTCGTAGTCCACAATGTGTCTGACGAACCAGTATTCAACACGAGCAGCACCTGCAAACACTGTGGCCAGCAGACAGTGACAACAGATTGGGGCATTTGAGAGGTATTTTTTTTTTTATATAAAAACCCAACTGGGCTGATAATTCTACTCTAACCAAAGCGTATAAAAAATAAAGTTTTGGCTGAAGGTGTATTATTATATTTAATGTAGATAAGATCTCTTTTTTGCTGGGGACTGAACACATGTAGGGGCCTCAGCACTTACCTGGCCTCCTCTTTCTTCACCTCTTGCTCCATTTCCTGCTCCAGTTTCTTCTGTTGATTTTCACGCTCTCTCCGCAACCTCTTCTCCAGTAGAGCAGCACGTTTGGCAGCCATATCATTTTCCTCTTTGCGATCATCCTGTGGCACATTAACAACTGTTTTATGAATATGAACCCATTCAGCTCTCAAAGAAGAAATTGTTCCCATTTAGTGTACTACAAAAACCTTACCAGCTAAACAAACGTAAAAGGACTCCTTGCATGAAAACTTTAATACATTCATGTAGAATACATGTTAATAGCCTTTATCCATTTCCTATTAACCTTTTGGAGCATGGTGGTTACATAGTTAGCACTTTTGCCCCATAGCACTGAGGATCTGCTTAAATTCCTGCCAGGAACAATGTCCTTGTTTTTCCATGCCTGTGTGGGGTTCCTCGCACAATCCCAAAACATTCTTGAGGTTAATTGTCTGTCACCAAGATCTTGCCATAGAAATTGTCTTTCAAACTATGCCAGTAATACAAAGCACAGAACTAAACACCAAAGAATAGAAATAAATACACACACACACACACACACACACACACACACACACACACACACACACACACACACACACACACTATATTGCCAAATGTATTGGGATGCCTGCCTTTACACGTACATGAACTTTAATGGCATTCCAGTCGTAGTCTGTAGGGTTCAATATTGAGTTGTCCCGCCCTTTGCAGCTATAACAGCTTCAATACTCCTGGGAAGGCTGTCCACAAGGTTCAGGAGTGTGTCTATGGAAATGTTTGATCATTCTTCCAGAAACACATTTGTGAGGTCAGGCACCGATGTTGGGCGAGAAGGCCTGGTTCGCAGTCTTCACTCTAATTCATCCCAATGGTGTTCTATCAGGTTGAGGTCAGGACTCTGTGCAGGCTAGTCAAGTTCCTCCATCCCAAACTCACTCATCCATGTCTTTTTGGACCTTGCTTTGTGCACTGGTGCACAGTCATGTTGGAACAGGAAAGGGCCATCCCCAAACTGTTGCAACAAAGTTGGAAGCATGAAATTGTCCAAAATATCTTGGTATGCAGTCGCCTTAAGAGTTCCCTTCACTGGAACTAAGGGGCCAGGCCCAACCCCAAACCCTGAAAAAGAACCTCACACCATAATCCCCCCTCCACCAAACTTTACACTTGGAACAATGTAGACAGGCAAGTACCGTTCTCCTGGCAACTGCCAAACCAAGACACGTCCATTGGATTGCCAGACACAGAAGCATGATTCGTTACTCCAGAAAAAAACATCTCCACTGCTCGAGAGTCCAGTGGCGGTGTGCTTTACACTGATGTAAGGCTTGGATGCAGCTGCTCGGCCATGGAAACCCATTCCATGAAGCTCTCTATGCACTGCTGTTGTGCTAATCTGAAGGCCACACGACGTTTGGAGGTCTTTAGCTATTGACTCTGCAGACAGTTGGCGACTTCGGCTTACTGTGCGCTTCAGCATGCGCTGACCCCGCTCTGTCATTTTATGTGGCTTACCACTTCACGGCTGAGTTGCTGTTGTTCCCAGTTGCTTCCACTTTGTTATAATACCACTAACAGTTGACAGTAGAATATTTAGTAGCAAGGAACTTTCACGGATGGACTTATTCCACAGGTGGCAACCTATCACGGTACAGCACTTGAATTCACGCTCTGAGAGTGACCCATTCTTTCAAAAATATTTGAAGAAGCAGTCTGCATGTCTAGATTCTTGATGTTATACACCTGCGGCCATGGAGGTGGACTGGATTGAATCCAATGATTTGGAGGGGTGTCCCAATACTTTTAGCAATATAGTATACTGTATATATGTCTCAAAATTTCCACTCACCTGCTTGCATTTGGCAAGTGGAAATAACGTGGGGGCAAATGTGCCCCAGGCATCTCATCAAAGGGGTGTGGTGGGGTGAGGTGACGGGGGTATGGTAGGTGCTGCCGGCAGCACCAAGAAAGAAAATGAGGAGGGGGGGGGGTTGGGCGGGAGCCAATTTCTCCTCCCAGCCTCCTCCCCATCATTCTCCTACAGCAGAGAGCGGGAGGCAGCAAAGCACTGGATGAGGTGGGGGCAGGAAGTGGGGTTTGGCTGGAGCTGCCAAAGTTAACTTTTCCTACTAAAAAGCTGATGATGGGTTGCTTGGACTGCCTAGCAACCAATCACTTGCTGGTTACATTTAAAAGTTAACTCTGGCAGCTCCTGCTCCGGTGTCCAGTGCTGTGCTTCCTCCCGCCCGCTGTCCAGAACTTTGTGTGAGTCTCTGCTTCTTTTAACTGTCCTGGGGGGGTGTGGAGTAGGTTAGAGGACATGGCTGCGGTGAGAGGGGGATTTGAAAGGAGGTAGAGGACATGGGGAGGGTTGTAAAGCTGGGTAAAGGACATGGCTGGGGGAGGGCTGTTGCTGGCTGCTGGGGGATTTGTCACTGAATGGAAACTATTTTTGTGTGGTGGTCTATAGTTGCTGGTGGGGCATCTGCTGTTGATGGGGGTTAATTGTTGCTGGAAGGTATTTACTGTTAAGTGAGGGGTCTATTGTTGCTGGCTGTCTATTGTTAATGGGGTGATGTTTTTTTTTGAGGGCCCATTGTTGCTGGAGGAATCTATTGTTGCTGGCTGCAGGGGACCTATTTTTTTTGCTTTTCTAGTTATCAACAAATTTCATACAAGTTATTTAGCGCTACAAAATGATACTTGACTCTGTATTCTCTAAAAGGTGTGGTACTGGGAGCTGGGTGGAACCAAGTGACGGTGTACACACACACACAAACACACACACACAAACACACACCGGGTAAAATAAGTATTGAACATGTCAACATTTTTGTTGGTAAATATATTACTAAAGGTGCTATTGACATGACCTTTTCACCACATGTTGGCAGCAACCCATGCAATCCATACATATAAAGAAACCAAAACAAATGAGTTCAGAAATTAAGTTATCTGTAATAAAATGGAATGACACAGGGAAAAAGTAATGAACACATGAAGAAGGGGAGATACAAAAAGTAATGGAAAGACAAGCCACCAGCTGAAATCTATCAGTAATTAGAAAGCAATCCTGCCCCTTTTTAGTGCAAATTAATATCAGGTGGTTCAGTCTCAACTGATGGCCTATAAAAAGGTGTCTCATTACCAAGGTGTCACACATGAAACATTTCATGATGGGTAAAAGCAAAGAGTTCTTTCAAGACTTTCCCAAGCTTACTGTTGCCAAACATATGGATGGCATTGGTTACAGAAGGATTCCTAAACTTCTGAATGTTCCAGTGAGCACTGTGGGGGTCACAATCTGAAAGTGGAAAAACATTTCAGCATAAACCGGGCAATACCAGGTGGTACTCACAAGAGTAAAAAGAATTATCAGAAGAGTTGTCCAAGAGCCAAGGACCACTTGTGGAGAGCTTCAAAAAGACCTGGAATTAGCAGGTACAATTGTTTCAAAGAAAGCAGCACGCTCACCACAAAAGACTCCATTACTAAAGGAAAAGCATGCTGAAGCTTGTTTAAAGTTTGCGGCACAACATTTAGACAAGACTCTGAAATACTGTGAGAATATAGTTTGGTCAGATGAGACCAAAAGTGAACTCTTTGGATGCCATAATACATACCATGTTTGGAGGTCAAATGGCACTGCACATCACCCCAAAAACACCATAGCAACAGTGATGTTTGGAGGTGGGAACATCATGATATGGTGCTGTTTTTCAGCATATGGTACTGGCAAACTTTATGTCATTGAAGGAAGGATGAATGGAAAATGTACCAAGACATTCTTGATAAAAATCTGCTCCCATCTTCCAGGATGATGAAACGAGGGTGAACATTTCAGCAAAACAATGATCCCAAACACAAATCCAAGGAAACTCTCAATTGGTTTCAAAGAAAGAAAATAAAGCTGCTAGAGTGGGATCAATTACCTGACTTGAATCTAATGGAAAATCTATGGAAAGAACTAAAGATCACAGTTCATAGAATAGGCTCACGGAACCTTCAAGATTGATTGTGTGGGAGAATGGGCCAAAATCACACCTGAGAAATGCATGCAGCTAGTTTCTCCATACAGGAGGTGTCTTGAAGCTGTCACTACCAAAAAAATGATTTTGTATGAAGTATTAAATAAATTTCAGTTCGCGTGTTTAGTACTTTTTCCCTGTGTCATTCCATTTTATTATAACTTAATTTCTGAACTTATTTCTTTTGGTTTCTTTGTATGTACGGATTGCATGGGTTGTTACCGACGTGGTGAAAATGTCATGTCAATAGCATCTTTAGATAAAAAAAATTTACTTAGAAAAATGGTGAAGTGTTCAATACTTATTTTACCCACTGTGTATACATATGCGTTACAGACATTTATCACAGGATGCATGCATCATACTAAGCATTTACAGTTTTCAAGTGAGAAATTCCAGCCCTTCTTGCATTCTTGTAAGCACATGCATACTATTGGAGTAAGCAGTGAATGCAATCTGATCTCCGTTTTTCAGGTCTCATGCACACTGGACATTTTTACAGCTGCTGTTTTTGGCTCTCAGCATTTTTTTCTACAGCCAGTAAACGTTCCAGCATGTTATCCTATGTGTCCATACACACATAGACTGTATTTAACCTTTTTTATGGCAGGGGCGTTTTTTGGCTGGAAAAAACCCCCAGAACTAGTGGGTCTCTAGAGGAGATTTTTTTAGGCGTAAAAACATTCTAACACTGAAAAACATGGTAAAATGTGTAAAAAAAACCCGCTAAAAACTGCGAAACGCTGAAAAACACGGAAAAACACAGAAAAACGCTGCTAAAAGCTAATGCAAAAACTCTAAACGTGAGCGAATGCTACCAGCATTATTAAAATGCCCAGTTTGCATGGTGCCGAAAAACACACTAGTTCAGGGGGTTTTTTCCAGCCAGAAAACACCTTTGCCAAAAACCGCTGATTAAAGCCTATGCGTGCATGGACACATAGGATAACATGCTGGGGAGTTTACTGGCTGTAGAAAAAAAAACGCCAGAAGGCAAAAACAGCATCTGTAAAAAAAAAAGCTCAGCGTGCATGAGGCTTTTGCAAGAAAGGTTGTTATCTGAACCTAAAGAAAGTTTGTGATCTTAATCAAAAACTGTCTGGAAGTAGCAATAAATAAAAAAACGCATATGCAGCATTTCTGAATGAAAAAAAAAAAAAGAAAAGGAAGAGACAGCATAATTTTTGTATTTAAATATAATCCTTTTAACCACTTCAATACCGGACACTTTCACCCCCTTCCTGCCAAGGCCAATTTTCAGCTTTCAGTGCTTTGAATGAAAATTACTCAGTCATGCAACACTGTACACAAATGAAATTTTTTATAAATTGTTTTCACACAGAGTTTCCTTTTGGTGGTATCTAATCACCACTGGGTTTTTATTTTTTGCTAAATAAATGAAAAAAGAACAACAATTTTGAAAAAAGGATGCGTTTTGCCTCATTTTTGTTATTTATTTTTTGCAAAAATGGGCAAAATGTATACTGCTACATTTCTTTGGTAAAAAAATAACCCAAATCAGTAAATATTATTTACTCTTTGTGAAAGTTAAAGCGTCCACAAACTATGGTATATACAGTATCATAATATTTGAAAATCAATCCTGATGTACTGATGGCCCATCTCACTTCTTTAAAGAGAGTAGGGCTTTTTTTCCATCTATTTATACTTACCTAGGTGGATGAAGCATCGGTCCGATGCTGCATTTGTCCCCCGCTGGCTCTAAGGGTGAGAACTCGGCGATCACCTGACCGCTGATCACTGAGTTCTCAGTGCTCTTGCTCAGGCTCTTAAGTGCTTCGCTTTGAGTCAGGTGCCGCTCCAGACTCTGGGGTGGATGATGACTTTGAAGTCAGGATCTTTCCCATGCCTGGACTGCCTGAGTGACTTCAGTCCGCTGTCAACTAAAAACGGGTTACAGGAGCACAGAATGAACTGCACTCCCGTGATCCACAGGAGAAGCACAGCTTAAAAAAGCTTTGCCTGTACTTCTCCTTTAAGGCCCTAAAATTCCAGGACAGTACAAATACTCCCCAAGTGACCCCTTTTTGGAAAGTAGACAGTCCAAGGTATTTAGTAAGAGTCATGGTGAGGTTTTTGAAGTTGCAATTTTTTGTCACAATTTGTTTTTTTAAATGAAGAAATTTTAAAAAATTCTTGTTTTCCACATACTGTCACCAGTGCAGTTCAGTGTCATCCTATAACTGGTATTGCTGGTGACACTGATTGGTGACAGTATGTTAACTTAAAAATAAAAAACCCTCACAAAAAAAAAAGAAATTAGAATTTTTTTAATTATATTCAAGATTTTTTTTTTTTTTTTTTTTTTTTACATACCATGGCCAGAGCAGTACAGTTTTACCATATTGAAAGTATACTACTCTGGAGGTTTTTGTTTTTTGTTTTTTTTTTTTACACACACTACAGTGCCTTGAAAAAGTATTCATACCCCTTGAAATTTACCACATTTACATCATGTTACAACCAATAACATAAATAATTACATTTATTACCTAGATCATTCACCCTTACTTTCATCAGATAGTACAATGCTGTACCAGGAAAAATATGATGCCCTTATACTGCTGACCTCTCCAGAAAATGCGAATTGCCTAGCTGTCTTGTTGCCAAGCGGCTTTAATACTTTCCCAGTAACTGACCCCGAACAAGTATGTAAATAATGTGGTCTGACTCTACCAGCTCTAAGCTTGTTTAGTTTAGTGGTTCTTGATGTCACGTGATAAGTAGAGCTACCAGGCACCTAGCATTTTTCAAGTCAACATTGACAATCTTCCAATTTCTCTCTGCACATCATAAGAACAATACTGCATCAATACTACAACAAATTTCTTCAACATGTAATAAGACAAATATATAAACATAAGAAATATATTTAAAAAGTAAGCTTACTAACCTTAAAAAAGAAGCCACAGCAAACCTTCTGGTCTTCGGTGGTGAGATCTTTCTCAGGGTCCACTTCATTCCCTTCAGGTGCCTTGTTTGGGGGCTGTAACTTTGAGAGGGGGACTTCAATCAAACTTGCATTTTTGGAGGTGGAGAAGCTTCTCTGGCTGAATGTGTCATCATTTGGTGTTACACATACAGTTTCTACAATAGGCTGGGATAATACTTCAGACACGGTTGATTCAAATTGGTTTTTTCTCTAATCCTACACGTTTCCAAGAAGCCTGATAAGTATCCAATCCTTTCTCATATTCCTCACTTCTGAAAATGTCACTAGCAGTTTCCAGATCATCCTTTGCCTCCAGTTCTTGTGAATTCGGATTTTGATCATCTCCAAAGCATACAAACGACCTGGTCTGAGTCTGGCTTGGAGAAAACCTTCGCAGACGAGGAAGACTATCTACAGATTGTGGAGGTGTTAACGTACGATTTAAAGGTGTTATTTTAAGTTCATTGGGTCGAGGGGTTCTTTGAGGCTTTGAAGAGAAGGACACAGTCCTTTTAACTGGAGCCTGGGGTGATCTGTGAGTTTGGCGAGGTGACTCCATAGTGAAACAAGGGACTGGAGACCATGTAACAGAGGGTTTTATTGCTGGTTTTGTTTCTCGCTGTAACTGCTTTTGTGGAGAAGGTTGAGGTGGAGAAATAACCCAGGCCTGTTTCTCCCTCATCTGCATCAACATGTCCTGCTGCAAAGCTAACCTCTGCATTTCCTGCTGAAGAAAGTTCAAAGAAGAATTTAGTTTTTCAATAGACCGTGTATATTCTACTACGTCCACCTCACCCATGTTTTCCTCACTTGGACTTGCAAGATTCCAAACTTTCTCAGTATCTACAGGTGTTGTTGGGGATTTCGGCCATCTAGGTGATTGATAACTGTTTACATTTAGTCTTACCCTGGTTCCATCAGAAGTTCTTGGTGACTTTGTTTCAGATGTTTCCTGAGTGACCTTCTCATTTTCTGAACATCCTGCTTCCTCTTGTAAGGGAGAGATCCCATCACCCTTTTTTTTAACCACTGTGAGAAATGCAGTTCTACCCATTTTTTGCCTCTTGCGAGTAAATGCAGCCTCTACTTTCTTCTTCTGTGCTTCAATAGCCCTTCTTTTTTCTTCCAATTTCATTCTCAGCTGGACAACTTCAGATGCCAACAGTTGTGTGGTGTCTCTGCCCTGTGGCAGAGAGTTTTCTTCTTGAATTTGGCCAAATGCAACCACCTGAGGTATGTTTAATTCAGAACCTTCAGGGGTCGTTTTTTGGGAACTGCTTCCACTACTCCTGCCATCTGCATTATTCAGTTTTCTAAACTTCTGCTCTGCAAAGCTGGTCATTTTGATTCCAGAACTCGAAGAGGCTGAACTGCCTGCCTGTGATTTGCCACTTACAGAGCTGGGACAGGGACTAACTGCTTCTCTAAGATTGGAGTTAAGATTAACATAGTCCTGGTGAACTTTCAAAGGGTCTTCCATGTCAGAATCTAAACTTACAGTATAATCTTTCAAAGAAGAATCTTCATCCATGGTTTCTGGAATATCTTCTGAAGGTACATGAATTCCAGTATCTACTTCTGTATTGTCAGTAACATCACTTAATGCTTCTTTTTTGTCAAAGAGGTCTATATTAGGGTCTATAAGACCTTGTGGGGATAGTTGTAGACCTAAATTTACATCATTGCTATGAAGAAAAAGCCATTGTTCATCTGATCTCCTATAACAGATGTCTTTTCTGGGTTGTGAATGATTTCAAGTGCTTCTTCTATGCTTGGGGGTTCTACCTGAGAGTCCAGCTGATCTACATTACCTCTATTTTCAACAGGTCCATTTGGCCTTTTGCTTTGATCACCATCATCAGAGTCTAGTTGACTACTGGTTGGCGACAAATCATTATGGTTTTGTGGCGTATGAATCCATTCTTCACTAATGCTAACTGACTCCCCTTGGCCATTAATTGGCTGGAAGGAAAGATTTTTACGGATGTGCCTGGGTACCCGAGTGAGATTGAGAGAGAAGCCTTCATTACTAATTGACCTTCGGATTGGTCTGCTTGGGGCTGTGACTTTCATTCCATCCTCTTTATCAAAAGATATGTCAAAAGATACACCATGCACTGAAGATCTGAAATAGGAAAAACATTAGGAAGATCATAAGGAAACTGAGGTAAAAGGTGAACCACAGCAGCATGACAAAACTGGAATGCATCAATCTTCTGAAATGAGGCAAGTCAAATCTTAACCTGGGATGAAACACCAAGTCTAAAGCAACCCCGGACTATTAAATGTAACGGCAGACAGAGTAATCTGACTGCATTAACGGTGATATGTAAAGTGGAAAATTAGACCCCTCCTGTGGCTGAACCAAGTTAACCCAATGTTTTAGGCTCCATTTACACTTAGGCGTTTCAACTCGAGAGCGGAATTGCCACGATTTAAAACTACGCTGTGAAAACGCGCATCCGAATGTTCAGGTGCCATTCATTTCAATGGCACCTGAAAACGTGTGGCATTTTTGCAACAATCGAGGCATGTTTCTCTGCACGACAAACGCACCACAATCGCACAAACAAAATCACGGGACGTGCAACGCCCCAAAAAAGGTTCTGGAACAGTTTTTGGGTGTCGCACATCCAGCGATTTTGTTTGTGTGATCACAGTGCGTTTGTCGCACAGAGAAACATGCCGCGACTGTTGCAAAAACGTATTGCATTTTCATGTGCCATTGAAATGAATGGCACCTGAACACTCCAATGCGCGTTGTCACATTTTCACAGCATGCTTTTATATTCCACCTGCAAATTAAAATGCCTATGTGGGAATGGAGCCTCAGGTTCTAGTTCTAAAATTATTTTTCTTTTTAATTTGTAAGAATAGATACAGTTAGCTCAGCAAGGAGGTAATATCTGAATTAGGTACACCAGTTTGTGAAGTCGCTATTAATACTTAGAGTCAATAATTTTCTCCAACATCTTCAGGCAATTTAAAAACTATGACTGGAAGTAGGATTTATTATAAAAGTTTTTAGCACTGTGTACTATATTAGCGTTTATGTTCAGTTTTCAATAAAAAAATTTGTTGAAATGAAACTGTGGTAAAATATTTCCCAAATGGTCAGAGACTTTGTCCCATGGTCATTGATACTGAACATTTAATAATGATTACTGTATATACACACTCAAATATAAACTTTCAAAAGCTTTTAAATATTCATCCATATAAAAACAATCTACTAAAATTTAGCAAAAAAAAAAATATAGTATAAAGTATATGAAAAAGCATTAGCATTTTTCAAAATTTCTTACCGCTTTTCTTTGGGCCATGTTCCAATTTGTCCATCCACGTACGACATAGATGACGATCTTCGAATGGCAGCTGAAAATATAAATTTTGAAAACAAAAAGTGTTACATGTATTTGAATGTGTTCTCAAAACATTCCAGCCTGAAAGTAACCATACTTTTTCTTCTCTTCACAAAAACACACACACAGTTAACACTAAATAAATGTAAAGCTCTTCATACAAAGCAAACTAGTCATTTGAAATGAGATAATTAGTCCCCAGCAAATTTCTCTGGGCACATAATAAGCCCAACCGTTGTTTAGGACATTCTGAATGCTAAACTCATTACTGCCTATGAGTCAGCATCGCCTCTCCCCCAATTTTTGTCATGACCCTATCAAGAAAAAAATGAAATAGAGAAAATCTAGAACACTTTTCCAAGCTGGCTTTTTTTTTTCTTTGAAGATGCCACTCTTCAAATATAAAAGTTCATGCTTTATACAGTGATATCACATATTATGCAGTTTCCCATAGCAACCAGAACTCACTTCCTGACATCATGAGACTAAGATCAGTTCTGACTGGTTACTTTGGGTGTGTTTTATCTTGTGATCTTCCAACACTGCAGAATGTGACATTATAATAATTCTGTACCTTACATCCATTGCCAAAATGAGCCTAACAAAAAAGACTCAAACTGACTAGGCTGTTAAATAGACAGCCTTGAACTAGCAGATCTGCAATCAAATTAATCAAGCTGGATCCCTACCTTGACCAGGTGATGATGGTACATCGTGTGGGTTTCTGAAAAATAACAGTGACTATTAAAGTTTTTGTTAAGTGGAGATGCAGCATATTTACCCAATCTAACAAAAAAATCCTAGTTCTTGTGCAATTTCTGTGCCAACAAAAAACATACAAAGGATCAACTGCTGTATGTGATCTGGAAATGATTATACTTCTATATCACAACACTCAAACCTATAATATCCCAGAAAAGTGATCTACCTTCACCCTTGAAGGCCAACTTAACAATATATATGTGACTTTTCTATGAGCAAATACATCAAATCAAATGAAATAAAACCAGAAAATTATATGAAAATTATAAAAATTATATAAAATAAAATAATATCCAAAGTCCCACCGTGTCCAAAATTAAAATCAAAAATCCCAAAAAAAAAAATAATCCTCACAGGTGTAACACAAAACTTAAACTTTTCCTTCTTCTTTCATCACAAAAACCTTCTTAATACCCGAAAATCCTGATATTCGTGTACCTCAAAAAGGAAGAAAATTCGACATAGTGTCATACCTTAAATAATAAAACACACGTGCCACTCACTGTGCAGCATGCAAAATAAACGTGTATGCTCAAACCAAGTGTCAAAACACATACAAATAAGTGAAATGACAATGTGAGTGAAAGCACATTCACATAGGATATGCAATGCAATGTGTAAAACCACTCCACAAATAACACTGACAGTGTATAACACAACACCCTATATATAAAAAGGTGATAACCAAAACCCAGATCACCAATCTCCAACTCTAATATGGATGGGTAATTACCCTATAGCAGAAACAGCAGGGCAGATTAACCACTCTGGGTTGCACTCTCCTCTTATCGATTTTCTCCAAAGACTAGGGTCACTTCTTCCACTTTCCTCCAGAAAACCAGTCACAAAATGTTTCCCTGAACCTGTCCATGTGGACACTGCTTGTGAGGAGGAGCTGTTACCACGGAATTGTTATGTGAGTTACCAATAAAGAAGAATATCTTTTATATTTGTGACTGGTTTTCTGGAGGAAAGTGGAAGAAGTGACCCTAGTCTTTGGAGAAAATCGATAAGAGGAGAGTGTAACCCAGAGTGGTTAATCTGCCCTGCTGTTTCTGCTATAGGGTAATTACCCATCCATATTAGAGTTGGAGAGTGGTGATCTGGGTTTTGGTTATCACCTTTTTATATATAGGGTGTTGTGTTATACACTGTCAGTGTTATTTGTGGAGTGGTTTTACACATTGCATTGCATATCCTATGTGAATGTGCTTTCACTCACATTGTCATTTCACTTATTTGTATGTGTTTTGACACTTGGTTTGAGTATACACGTTTATTTTGCATTCTGCACAGTGAGTGGCACGTGTGTTTTATTATTTAAGGTATGACACTATGTCGAGTTTTTTTCCTTTTTGAGGTACACGAATATCAGGATTTTCGGGTATTAAGAAGGTTTTTGTGATGAAAGAAGAAGGAAAAGTTTAAGTTTTGTGTTACACCTGTGAGGATTATTTTTTTGGGATTTTTGATTTTAATTTTGGACACGGTGGGACTTTGGATATATATTTTATTTTATATAATTTTTATAATTTTCATATAATTTTCTGGAAATGATTAATACTATTGCTATCACTGAAAAGATGGTATTCTGTTAGGACAAATAAAATAGGAATGTTTGAACTCAATACCCCACAATGATATCCATTGTAAGTAAAATGTCAGCCCATTAGATATAGAGACTTCACTATACCTCAGGGGTGGTTAGATATATAGAAATTCTATTACAGCAGATGTAGTAGGGTATGTAATGTGCCTCTTAATGGCCTGCCATGTAAAAAACATGACATTGCTTAGAAAACCTCTCTCCATTTGGAGGGGGCTATTTGTATTTGAAACCAAGACAACATTGTCTCAAATTCTACCAACACCAAGGGTCTGTTATTAAATGGAGAGCAAATATCACTCTCCAGAGGTCACCAGAGTGTTTACACTGCACTCGGCTTTTTACAAGTCGCTCATAAAATGCAAAGCATTCTGTGGAATCCGTGGTTATCCCCCTGTACTCTTCCTACTTTCTTCTTCTCAATTCCCTCTTCCCACCTTCCCCTTTTATTACTTCTCTCTAATCCTTCTATTTATGTACCTTATTAACGCTGATCCAGAAGGAATTTCATGATATATAGAGTTCCCTCTCCACCCAGCCCTGGTGCTTACACGGAGGTATTCCACATCTTGACAAGTTACATATTTAATGTAAAACTCAGATACCTAGCCAATACCACACAGTTTTTTTTATATATGTAATTTTAATGGCCAGAGACGCCAGGCTAATTTTCATTTGCTACCCCACTTACTATTTTCCCAATTTTGTTGTTCACTTACCACTGTAAACAAATTAAAAGTTTGTAGCTATAGTATGGTATGCAATAAAAAAAAAGGATAGGCACTTATGGGAAGTACAATATACAATATTATTCTCTTTCTAAACCTTCAGCAGTATAA